TAAGAGTGTTTGAAATCTACATCTCATTTTTTTTTAATTTATTTTTTTTGTGCCAGAAAATAGCACCACATGTGGGAGAATCAACAAATGTTTTGTCTGTTATGAAATTATTTTAGGCAAAACAATTTGATAAACTCATTGGTTGGTAATTTTGAAAGAAATATATAATTTCTCTTGCCAAGATTTTTGTGCCACATTTTGAAAATTTTGGCGAGAAATTTCTTTGTTAATTTGAAACACAAATTTTTTTTTTTTTTTTATAGGCTGATTATATGCAGATTTATTTTGTGATTGATGAGTCCGAGGGTTAAATAAATTCTCAATTATGGTCACAGTATTTTACTGCATTACTTAAGTTATAAGTATCATGTTCCCTGTTTTGAAGTTTTACTGTAAAATGACCGACATACTGAAAAAAAACAAAAATTTCCTATACAGCATTTGTTTTAATAGAAGCGCATATAAACCCAAAACTATCATTTGTTTTATACTGAATCATTGAAATATTACCATGGAAACAACTCTAATTTACATAAGCAAATGTGCTGCAAATACAGTACAAGGCTCCAAATTAAGGCCTGCCCACCTGCCCCAGACAGTCGTATAACAAGTGTACAAATGGACAGGTGAATAAAGATATCAAGTTTTACCAACTGACGAAACAGGGGTAGTGTTTAAAGTTGTCAATATCCAGAAAATTGCTTTCAGAATTTTAAATCTTACGAAATGGGAAGCCAATAATTAAAATTTTATTTCAAATAAATGTCTTAATTTATCTCACTCAAGACGGGCACTTTTATTCACCCAACTTGTCCAATGGACGGGAAACTTTAATCATGAATGTCAACCCTGCTTGAAATGTAATCCATTCTGTCTGCAATATTATTTTAGGTTTTGAGGTGGTTTTTTTTTTTTTTTGTCACCATGGCGGTGAAAGTACAACCAATGTGTAGAATGAAAAATACTAGGCCAGTAAAAAATTTCTTATATGACCCTGAACAAAAAAAATGCACTCAGATGACCTTTCTCAAAAACCTATACAGACAAGAAGTCTGGAGAAAGGGCCTACCAATGCTTCTACTTAAGAAAAAAAGCAATCCATGTTCTGGATAATTGCACACACTAATTCCAAAGAAATAAGAAGAATACAAGGCCTTTGTTGAGCGGACTCAGTCAGGTGTACTTAGAACCCCAATACAGTAGCTACACACACATTCAAAAAAGGTTTCAACAAGTTTACTTTGACTTCATAATTGGGTAGTTAATACAGCCGGACAAGTGACATGGGTAGTACTAATAATATTCCAATCAGTCAACAGCCGTAAGACCTCTGTCAACACCTGAAACACAAGCCAGTGTTGTCAAGTACAGCCACTGTAAACCAGACAAAAAGCCAGTCTTCAACGCTAAACAAAAAATCGGTTACAAATGAGAATAAATATTAGCTTAAATTTTGTAAATTTACTGATCTGGTTTTTATACTATCGGTATACTATTATAAATTGATAGATTTTCCAGCAAAACAATTTCCATCAGAATTTTACTTGTCGGATTTAACGAAAACAAAACCCAGTCAACAATTATTTTATGTACAGTAATTTCTTAGTTTGGTCATAATTTTTTTTTTCAATAATTTTATACACCAGTAAATGATTACACCATATAACGAGTTCCCATGGCAAGCTCATACAAACCACACACAAATGAAAATATAAACAAAATTTTAATTAGAAACATTCCATTTCTATTCAAATGAAGCCATTCACCTTGGACAAGCTTTAGAGATTTTTAATGACAACAATGTGTTTGACCTTCAAGATGTCCCTGACCTCTAAAGTTCAGAGTGAATTTTTTGTATCTTTCTGTCAAATCCAATCATTGGTATGTCCTTGCAATCTATGGCTGCATCAACCTAAACAACCTGGCCTTCATTATTTAAATTTTAAAAAAAAAAAAAAAACACAAGGTGAGCCAATTTGCTTAAAGAGAAACGAATAATGGGATGACGAATTGGTACACACATGCATGGTGGCTCAGTTAAATTAAGCATAACGCAAAGAAATTGTACAAAAAATATGAAACGGGACTCGGCAGCATCAACTTTGTTCTTGGTAAATAAATATATACAGCTGGACTTCCATGAATGAGTTTTAGCTACAGTGGTTTTTGATACAACGATATTTTTGTTTTACCCAATTTCAACTTGTTTAGCCGTTTTTTT